AAAAAAAGAAAGAAAAAAAACCCAGACTCCTCTACCTATTAGGAATTTTGGTAGCAATATCTTATAGACTCCTTAACCATGACAGTGAAGAACTGAGCTGATTCTAGCCCCTTTCCACCTGCTCAACCCCATCTTGTCCTATCCCCTGTGGATGGAGAGGACATCCATCCCATTTTCCAGGTCCAGATGTTGGAACCATGTTCTTTCCCTCTCTTTCTCTTAAACACACACACACAGCAAATCCATCTTGTTAGAAAATTCTGGCTACTCTGTCTTCATTAACCACCTACTCCCTGTTCCCCACCCTCCTAGGAGCCACCTTCAGCCACTTCTTGGACACCAAATAGCCTCCTTCTTCCATCTTTGCTTTTCTACAATCTCATCCACACAGAGTCAGAGGGAGCCTATAAAAGCATACATTGAGGGGGTGGGTGTAGCTCAGTGATAGAGCCCATGCTTAGCATGCATGAGATCCTGGGTTCAAACCACAGCACCTTCACGAAAATAAATAAATTACCCTCCCCCCCAAAAAAACCAAAACAAAAGCATAAATTGGACATCACCCATCTCATCAAAACTCACTAAAAGGGTCACCATTTCATTAGGATCCAAAGTCGTCCCAAAGTCTTCCAGGACCCGGCGTGCTCTGCCTCTCCGCCCACACTCTCCCCCTCAGTCTGGGGGCCTCTGGCTCCGGCTCTTCCTTCTTCCTCCGGATCTATGCTGCTTCAAGTTCATTTCTCCGTGAGATCTGCCAGGATTGCCTTGTTCCCTCCTATCTGCCTCACACCCCACCGCCATCACCTGAGTTTGCTCATATCACTCGTATTTTTCCCCAAGCTCTTGCTACCCCTAACATGCTGCTTGTTTCCTCTGCTAAAACTCTGAGCCCCCAGGGATGGGGAGTCGTGTCTATTTTGTTGAATAATAAAGCCCAAGAGCCTTGGGAACGGGTCTAGTTACTAGATTCCCATATGTAGTAGGAGCTTACACAGATTTGCTGAATGAATGCAGAGGTCCTGGTCCAATCCGATGGAGCACTTCTGTATCCTGCTCAAAGAATAACTCTCCTTTCCCCCTGAGAGGGGGTGACCACTTCCTTGGTGATCAAAGGCAAGGTCTATTTTCTTTATGCTGTTAACCTTAGGCGGGGAGACTGGGGGATCATCATTTATATTTTAAAATTTGATTCACTCTGTAGTTTGTCTTCTGTCTATGTATTCTTTTGAGAAACCATTTATGAGTGATCATTCTTCCATCAGATTGAACAGGATCCAGGGGGAATTACCAAGCCTGTTCCATCGGACATCCTATGTGTCATGTCCTGTGACCCAGTGGATGCTCAGCACATAAGTGAACCGACAGGAGTGAGTGAAGAGATGGGAGCATCTCATTATTGTGTTGGCTGCACTCTGTCCGATGCCTTGAGATTTGGGGGTTTACAAGTGAGGAGGATAGAGGTCAGGTCCTCTGTGATCTTCCTGAGTGCCCTGGCCTTACCCATTCCCCCAGCCCCCTCTGGGCAGCCAAGGCCAGGAGCTGGGCTACCGGCGATTGTGCTGATCATTAATCCACCTCACCCAAAGTCCGGGGGTAGGAGCGGCCAGCACAACTGGTTATAGACCCTGGAGTCAGGTCCTTGGAGGAATTCCTCACTGAATGATGTTTTGGACCTTTTATTTTTCTCTATAGCCTTCAGCTGAAGAAACAGATTGCCTTAGATACATGAAAGTTGAGGACACCTACTATCCCCATCGAGCCCTGGTGGGGCTGGGAGTGTGCTGTTTGTACAGCCGATGGGCTCTTGTTGCTTTGGGCATCCCTGTGCCTGAATTCCTGCAGTACACTCGGTGGTAAGGATGGGGGTGCCTGTCAGGGAGGGAAGCGGGTCGGGAGACTGCACAGCTGGGGTGATGTTAACCTGGGGTGAGCGGGAACCTGCTGATGCATGGCATCTCGGTGTAGGGAACTCTCCACACTCATAGGGGTTCCCACTCCCGCCGGGGCCCTTTGATCAGGGTGCTGGGCTGTCAGCACAGCAGGGTCCCTGTGAGGATCATGGTGCCTTCAGGCAGTGGGAAGTGAGGGGTCAGTGGCACTTAATGTGTTTCCTAATCTGCAAAACTGAAATGATGTTAACCATCCCGCAGGTTCGTTGATGGGCTGGGACACACTAGATAACCAGGAGCTAGAATTCCTCTATCCGGATTGTTTTCCTTCCTTCCCACTATTTGCTCTCACAAGCTCAATCTCTCTGTCTCTCTCTCTTTCACTTGTAACTTTCTCTCCTGCTCTGGTTTCATTTGATTCCCACCCTCCTCCCAATCCCCAGATGAGTGAAATTAATTTCTGTGTGTCAGTTCCAAATTCCCGGGAAAGATGCTCTGTCCCATCTGGATTTGTTGTCCAACCAATCAGTTGCAGCCAGAGGAGAGAGTCCCTCTTTGACCAGTGCAGGGGCTCTGCCCAGCCACCCAGCCACCACTGTGGGAGCACATAGCTCTCCGAGGAGGAGGTACTGGCTGTGACTTGGTGTCACTAAGTGTGAATTTATGTCTCCACTTACCCCACCTTCTTCCTCCTAAACAAAGATGAAAATTAAACATTCCCGAGATTTGTGTCATGGAACACTCAGGGTGGGGGCTAAGAGGGCTGGATTCCCTGCTTAGGGTAAGGGGCTGCAGTGACTCCCCAACGAGAGCTTGTGAAGGGAACAGTGCCAGCCCCACCGGACACTTAGGGCGCTGAGTCTGCGTGGCATTGAGTCAGGCTTCTGACCACAGCTCAGGGGTCTGGTCCGACTGGTTAGTCTCTGAAACCAACCAGCTTTGGATTACTCAGTCCCTCCATGAGGTTTTACCTGAAGCACCAACTTCTGTATCTCTGAAGACAGATGATGAGGACCCTTCACGTAAGGCATTTGCACAGCCCTGTGCGGGAATTTGTGCTGCACGGTCTGCCCGGCGAGCTGACCGAAGTTGGTATTTTACTGATCTTAGAAATAGTCTGGTTTCCTGATTCACTGTTTCACTTAACAAGCAACAGAAACAACCTCTGTCTGATAAAAGCAAAAAGGGACTTAATGAAAAGATACTGGGAGATTGCATGGAGTTGCCCAGACCAGAGCCGACCCGGGGGCCGTAGGAGATGTTGGGGAGCCCTAGGCACCAGGCTGGGCAGGGTGTCACCGGGCCCCCTGCTGCCCCAACAGGGACCCCCCTCCTCCTGACCCTCCACCTCAATGCAGGTTCGTGTCCCGGCAGGGCCATGTCACACTGAAGCCACCAGCACATACCTCAGTAGGGGAGTTGGCCCCGTCTCAGCTAAGGGCGTGCCTGGTGTGGGGAGAGGCCCAGTTAGAGGAAGGCGGTTCCCCTACTGTTCCGAGTTAAGGTGCAAGTCAGTGCCGGTCACTCAGGGGAGCCAGGGTGGTCTGACCTCATTGTGGTGACTATGCCGTCTGAGTTCACTTATTACTTTTTAGGTTGGAAGGCCCAAGAGGGAGAAAAATTGGAGGTTCTAGTACTTATTTTATATTTCCCATGTACCAGGTATAGTAAGCAAGCCACTTGGGACAAGGCCCAGAGCAACCACGTTAATAGGCCACAGAGCAAGTCGTGCAGTCAGGCCCCTGCAGCCCCGAAACCCATGTCCTCATCAGCTCCGTAGTTACCAGTGGATGTTGTAGGGATTTATGGGACTGTGTGCTCCTGTGGGGGCTGGGATGTGTGTGTTTAAATCCACATCTTCAGAAATTCGGCTAGAACCACAGCCACTGATTGTCTGCATGGAGGCAGAGGAGGGGAGGCTTGCAGACTCTAGTCCAGCTTGTGAGGAGCTCAGAAGTTGCTCCTTCTGTCCTTAAAATACCAGAGCTGAGGGAGCTGAAAACCCACTGCTCTTCTTAGATCCACAAGAAAACTGAGGGGGAAAGCTGCTCCCAACCCAGAGAGGCAGCCGGGCAGGCTTAGAAAGTCACAGCTCCCAGGGCAGAATCGTCTTTTGTAAGAACCCCAGGGGCAGGCAGATTTAACAGGTCCCTGAGGCCAGCAGGAGGCTCAGCGTGGGGAAATCAGAGTGTGACAACTCCAGGGGGCCAGTCAGATGGGCCCCCTGCTCTTTTCCATGCATTTTACCTCCAAGAACGTGTCCTGTTCTCAGAATGAAGGTCAGAGGAAAATTCCTCATGCTTCCTGCCTGGAAAGGAGAAAATAACTCTATTGAAATACACCCAGAACATTCTGTTTCATTGGGTGTAGTTGTTTTTTGTTTGTTTTTTTAATGAAAAATTATTTTACCAGAGCATAACCAACCTGGGAGAAGGGAAATCCCTTCTGTCTCACCCAAATTGTGGTGGGGGGAAAGAGACACACTTGTGGAGGTCACAGCTCAGGGCACAGGCTCAATGAGAACTAATCACAGGACTGCAGATGCCCTGCTCTGTCCCACTCCCCCAACACCTTACCTCCATGACAGTAGGGCCCCTGTGTAATAACAGGAATAAAACTAAAAGAAGTAAATGTCTCAGGAGTGTCTAGGGAAAACCCAAAGACAGCGGGGAGATGAAAACAAGGACACGCAGGCTGTTTTAGCCTCTCACA